TAATGCGCTGACCAATAAAGGCAAGCATACCAAACGCCTTATTCACTATCCTGTCTACCTGTGACTCTACTTTCAAGAAACTATGAAACTGCACTCCAAGGTCTCTTTGTTTAGCAACACTCCCCAGGACCTTACCATTAAGTGTATAAGTCCTGCCCTGATTTGCCTTTCCAAATGCAGTGCCACACATTTATCTAAATTCAACTCCATCTGCCACTCCTCGGCTCATTGGGCCATCTGATTAAGGTCCTGTTGTACTCTGAGGTAACCTTCTTCGCTGTCTACTACACCTCCAATTTTGGTGTCATCTGCAGACTTACTAACCATACCTCCTATGTTCCCATCCAAATCATTTATATAAATTTAGAAAAGCAGTGGACCCAGCACCAATCCTTGTGGCACACTGCTGCTCACAGGCCTCCTTGTCTGAAAAGTAACCCTCCTGTATCATCCTCTGTCTCCTACCTTTGAGCCAGTTCAATATCCAAATGGCTAGTTCTCCCTGTATTCTGTGTGATCAAATCTTACTAACCAGCCTACCACAAGGAACCTTGTCGAATGCCTTATTGAAGTCCATATTGATTACATCCACCCCGCTGCCCTCATCAATCCTCTTTGTTACTTCTTCAAATAACTCAATCAAGTTAGTGAGACACGATTTCCCATGCACAAGGCCATGTTGACTATTCCTAATCAGTCCTAGCCTTTCCAAATACATGTATATCCTGTCCCTCAGGATTCCCTCCAACAACTTGCCCTCCAGATGTTAATAGTTAATAGAATTAATAGTCAATACAGCGTGGAACTGGAGGAACATAGTAGGTCAGGAAGCATCAGAGGAAGAGGAAAGTCAATGTTTTGAGTTTACCTGAAAACCTGAAATGTTTACCTGAAAACCTGAAATTTACCTGCAACCTAAACCTGAAATGTTGACTTTCCTGTTCCTCTGATGCTGCCTGACCTGCTGTGTTCCTCCAGCTCCACTCTGTATTAACTCTGATTCCAGCATCTGCAGTTCTTGCTATCTCCAATAGAATTAATAGGTTATTCTGGAATAAACCCTTTAATCTTCCTTACCTTTGGCATTTCTGTATTTAAAAAATGGAATTCTGGAACATAATTTGTATTCTGCAATTAGGATGACCAGATGATAAGAAACAAGTCATACATTTTACATAGTCAGAGTAGGAAGTTGAAGGTAAATCACATCCCATGGTCCTCCACATACTCAGTTCATACTATAAAATGCTAAAACTTCAATGTTATTTGTAATTTAGTAGTCACGTTGATAAACACATTTAAGTTGAAGTCTGTGACTCCAATTTTCATTCTGGGTTGAGTACATAGAGGTGGGAGAAATCCTGGCTCCGATAAACCAGCTTTTAAAAATAGCTGCCAGCACTTCCCATTTTCAGTTTTGATGGCATGGGCAACATTGAAAGTTGGGTTGGTATAATAATAGGGTATTCCACAATAAACCCTTTAATCTTTAGCATGGGAAGAGCAGAGCAGGCTAATGGAAATTCCAGCAGTGTGCTAGAATTTTAAGAGTTGAAAGTATAAAATTAAAGATCAAGACATCTCTCCTGCTCTCACATTCTTCAGTCTGCATAGCCCCTCATAACCCCTATGCCACCCTACCCATCTTCCCACCCCCTTGGCTCCTTATTTTATCTATGCCCAAATAGTTAGGTGGGTGTTTTTGACAGGCATGGATATGATGGACCAAAGGGCTATTTACTGTGCTGTAGATCTTTATGACTATATGGCTCTAATCCCATGACTATTTTTAACCCCCTTCAAAATGTGGTATGTCTCCCACGAACCCCAAAATTTTGCATTCCCTTTCCATGCCGATTCATCTGGCATCCACCACAGACCTACCTCAGCAGGCATAATTACAGTGTTTATTGATGATGTCACTGTTGAAAAAAGCACACTCGTTTATCTAAGTAACAGGTAACACATTTAAATTCCTTCAACTAATCTCTTAGGTAAACATACATTTCAGATGGGTGTTCAATTCCTTGGGTAAACAAATATTTCACCTATGTGCTTAATTTCCCTTTGTGAACAAACATTTCCTTTCAATAAGTAGTCAGATTTGCCCATCAAAACACCCATTTAATAGGCACCCCATAGTGAAAATGATAGTTTGGGAAACTAGCCATGCTGTACAAATCCTAGAATGGCTTATGTCAATAGGACATCTGAAATCCTAGAACTGTTGTATATTAGAGTCAACACTTTGTTTATGGCCAGCTGATTGACAGCTTTGGAAGTTCCTTGACATTTGGCCGTTGCAGTCATTGACAAGTGTTGGAAGAAGTCATTGAGAGTGCAATAAAGCAGCACTTACTCAGTAATAACCCACTCACTGATGCGGAGGGTTCCACCAGGAACATTCAGTTCCTGAGATCACTAGAGCCTTGTCCAAACATGGACAGAAAATGTGAACTCTCGCAGTGAGGTAACAGTGACTGCCTCTGACATCAAGGCTTCATTTGACTGTGTTTGACACTGAGAAGCCCCAGAAAAACTGGGGTCACATACTCCAATAGTTGGAATCTTTTCTTGCACAATGAAAGATAGTTGTGATTGTTGGAGGTCAGTCATCTTAACTCCAGGTCATCACTGCATGAGTTTTTCAAGCTGTTCCTCCACCTTCAGCTGTTTCATCAATGACTTTTCCTCCATCAAAAGGTCATTGCTTGGCACTGGTCTACTGCTACTTACCATTCATCAGAGAGTAGGGATGTTTGCTGATAAATGCATAATGTTCAGCACCATTCAAGATACCTCAGATACCGAGGCAGTCCATGACCAAATGCAGCAAGACCTGGACAATGTCCAAGTTCGGGCTGATGAATGGTAACATTCCCCCTACAGCAAAGCCAAGCAATGACCGACTCCAAAAAGAGAGAATCTAGGCATCACCCCTTGACAGTCAATGGGATTATTATCATTAAATCCCAGAGTATCAACATCCTGGGGAACACCATTGACTAGAAACTCAAATTGGACTCACCATATAAATACAATGGCTACAAGACCAGGTCAGAATCTAAGAATCCTGCAGCAACTAACTCACCCCTTGACACCCCAAAGTCTGACTTGCCAACAGCAATCAAAAATCTTGACATCGTCAAGGTCAAAGCATCCTGTTCCAGGTACCACATTCCAAACATTTACACCCTCCACCATTTATGCTGAATAGGAGCAGTGTGTACCTTCTTCAAAATGAATTGCAGAAATTCACAGAACTTTCTGAACCCAAACCACTCTCATGTAGAAGATCAAGGGCAGCCAATAGATGGGAATGCCACCTGCAAGTTCCCCTGCAAACCAAACACCATCCTCACTTCGAAATTTATCACCATTCCTTCAGTCAAAATCCTGGAACTCCCTCCCTAATGGCAAATTTGAGTCTACCTACACCACATGGACTGCAGTAGTTCAGGAAGACAGCTCACCATGACCTTTTCAAGGGCAACTCAGGATGGGAAATAAAAGCTGACCTGGGCAGCGATGCCTGATTAGCAATTCTATGTTGAGTAACTCATCCATCGTCTCAGTGCCTGTCCACCATCTGCAGTGGGATAGAATACAATCCACTTGCTTGGATCTCTTGTGCAGCTTCAACTGCACTTAAGAAGCTTGACACCCACCAAGATGGAACAGCCCATTTGATTGATATCCCATCCACTACCTTCAATATCTCTCCCTCTGACACACAGGGCAACAGTGTGTACCATCTCCAGAATGTACTGCAGTAATTAATCAAAGCTGCTCTGACAATAACTTTCAAATCCATGACCTCCACCACCTTGAAGGACAATGGAACAACACCACCTGCAAGTTCCACTCCAAACCATACCACCTTGAATTGGTCTGTATCCTAATTGATTCACTATTGCAGTATCAAAATCCTGGAACTCCTGCCCTACCAACTCTGTGGTTCTTCGCCCCAGGAACTCCAGCTATTCAAGAACACAGCACACCACCACATTCTTCAGGGGATTTAGGGATGGACCATAATGCTGGCCTGGCCATGAATGCCCAACTAGTGTTGAAACAGATACAAATGGAGAAAATACGATGAGGGGGTGATTACAGCCTGGAAGAAGAATGCCATTAGCAATGTCAAAAGCAAACGATAGCCGAATATTGAGAGAGAATTGTGAGGATGAGCAAGAGTTCAGAAAATGGAATGTCATGAAGTAACTGTATGTGACCTGGAGAACAGAAAAATGCTGGGCTTGGGGATGTAACCTGGGTTCTCTGTGACTTCTGGCATTTTCATCAATGTGGGGATGCCCCTTGACATGGCAAAAGTCTGGGCCTACATCTGTTCATTTTAATTGAGTTTTGTTTAAATAGCCAACTAGAGAACCTTGAAACATTCCACTTGGTTTATGCCTTTGAAGCAACTATTCATTTCGACAATGTCCCAAGTGTAACCTTGTGAGTGCAGGTAAAAGGAAAGCAGATATATTTCAGTATTGATGTCCTGGCTGACTCAGTCATTCACTCCTAATCATTGCCAGTGAGCGCTTGTATATCTTGTGCTTTTAATGTTAATTTTCAACAGATTTGTAGCCTGTTGCATTTTGCATTTAACTTGGATCCTAAATTAACAATTGGCATGTTTTGGATTTTCCACTTATTTTGGATTATTATCCACTAAAACATACCTCAGATGTTCCTGCTTGAGCAGACAAATATCAGGGCAGGGAATCTTATACCCATTAAGAGATTTCAGGAGCGGGAAAGCAGTGAGCTAGGGAGAATATGATTACCATCCTTTCGAAAAGATTATGTATCTTGTGTTAAATGAACCACTTGTCTGCGTAACCAAAGTTATAGATCTAGCAAAGATAGTATTGTAATTGAAAAAAGGTTAATAAAAACATTAAAGTATTAATTCATTTGACTTGTCATGGTTCAATCCATCCTCAAGAATTGTCAGTCTTGGCAACTTATTTATTTTCTCATTCTAGGTTCAAAGGCGAACGTCTCCCCTCGATTATGCACAGAAGGACAGGTATGTGTCTTTTAAATACTCCAAATGATTCATATTGTTCTTTGTTCATTTGATAAATATTCAGTGTAATGGATCAATCATTTAGAACAAAAATCTGATCCAATTCGTGAGTGTTCTCCAGATGATCCGCAAACTGGTCCAAAATATGATTTATTGAAGCTGGTAATCTGTGAGATTACCTAATTCAATTGGGAAGAAAGGTTTGACAGATTTATGTGTCTGTATACAGTTCAAATATTCTGGACACAGTTTGAAGCAACTGCTGCCATTTCCAACAACATACAATTTGTGCACTTTGATTTTTAGCGTCGAGAACAAAGAAGACAAACTGGCTGAACTTGAACCCTAACATGAGAATGTTACACTTCAGCTCAGAATCAAACTTGTCGCATCAAAAGAAACACGCTTATTTTCTTTAATATTGATGAGTTTTTGTAATGGCAAGTGATAGCTTACAGGGGAAGACCAGTAGGTGATGTACGGAGTCGTTTACCATACCCAAGTCGTTCAAAAACAGAAGTTTGAGAAGTGCTGATTTAGAATAGATTGCAATCTGAATTGAACAATATAGTTTGATAATTTCTGCATGACTGATGAGCAATTTAAGTCATATTTATTAGATTTGTTTTATCAAGTGGTATAAATGTCTTTAATGTCATTAGAACCTTCAGGGATTGGGAAATCTCACATGAGTATTTTTTGTTTTGCTCTTTGCTTTACCACTCTACTCACCTAAACTCAGTAACTTCATGAACTTAGTTCCAAGGTTGCTCGGCATTTTTCCATGTAAAGGGCAAATGTTCATGTCTGAATCTGAAGAGTGAATTTTGATATAATCATTCATTTATGTGGATGAAGATGTCATGTAGCAGCCCAATTTTGATATCTAGACCATTGCATTTTCCAGTATAAGGGGCTGAAAAATGAATCCTGACATCTCCATTACCCAATCTGGCTGAGGTCATCATATCAAAACCTGACACCTACATGTCTATATGGATCAGATTGGCATGAATTTCTGTCTGTTGGTATGTCAGTTCAGTTGCTGTAAGCCTTGTTTCAATGGTAATGCTTTTGCTTCTGAGCCGGGAAGAAATGTGTTTTAGCCAGAGATTTGCACACACCATCTAAGTTGAGAGGGAACGCTCAATTGTCAGGGATACTAAATGGAAAACTCTCTTGATTTTTCCGTATACGATCCCATTCAAGCAAAAACAGGAGAGTTCTGCTGTCCTGGGCAATGTTCACTCCTCAATCAAACTGTTAAGAACAAATCCCCTGGTCATTTATCCAGTTGCTGTTTGTGTGACCTGGCAGTGTACAAATTCACTGCCACGTTTACCAACATTCCAAAGAAATATTTCTTTGGCTTTAAAGTGTTTAATAATGTCAGAAAAATTCAGCTTATAAATCATTCAGTCTTTTTAAGTGGTTGGGAACTGAAATAGTCTTGCCAGACTGGTAATGTGTTACTAGATCTCCGTTTCCGTGGTTCAGATCATTTGCATAAATATTCACCACTCCACGTGAAACTGAAAGGGAACTATGGAATACGGAAATAATTCTTAACAGTCTTTAGAAAGATCTCAGAACTAACTTGCAAACTCTCCAAGGCTGAAGGATCATAGGCTCGAAGTGTAAAACAAACATGAGGGGTGCAAAATCCGAAAGTGCAGCTGTGAATCTTCAATAACTGCAGCCCAAACCCTTCCCTCCCCTGTTTAACTGTTGCCTCATTGTGAAACTTGTTGGTCTTTGTATCTATGTAGCATTAAAATTCACCAAGAGTATATAAAATTGACAAACAAATGAGTGAAACAGCAGGTAAATATTAAAAATAACAGCTAAAATTCAGGACCATTCAGGACATGGAGCTTTGTAGAGAATAAATAAAAGGTGGAAAGGCAGGTTGTGAGAGGAATACAAACAGTTTACAGAGAAATATCGATAGGTCAAGTAAGTAGGTAAAAAGTTGGCAAATGGAGAAGGAGTGGGAAAGTGCAAAGTTATGCATTTTCGAAGGGAGAACAAAAGAACAGAATATTATTTAAATGGAGAAAAATGCAGAAAGCTGCAACACGAAGGGACTTGGGGGTACTTGAGTACAAAACACAGATAGCTAGCACACAGTGCAGCAGGAAATCAGGAATATTGGCCCTTATTTCAAAACAGTTGAAGTATGAGAGTAGGGAAGTCTTACTGCAACTGTACAATCTGCTGTTGAGACTACGTCTGTAGTACTGGAGCAGTTTTGATCCTCTTATTTAGGAAAGATATCATTTCAATGGAGGCAGTTCAGAGAAAGTTTACCAGGGCGAACCCTTGTATGGAGGGATTGTCTTATGAGCAAAGACTAGACAGTTTGGGACTCTACTCACTGGAGTTTAGAAGAATGGGAGGTGATCTCATTGAACATCTCGGATTCTTAAGGGGCTTGACAGGGTAAATGCTAAGAGGATGTTTCTCTTCATGGGAGAGTCTAGGACCAAAGGACCATAGTGTCAGAATGAAGGAGCACCAATTTAAGACTGAGATGAGGAGGAATTTCTTCTCTCAGAGGTTTGTGTGTCTTTGGGACTCCTTTCCACAGAAAATTGTGGGAAATTTTCCTTGTGTATATTTAAGGCTGCGATAGGTAATTTCTTGATCAGTAGGGGTATCAAGGGTTGCAGGGAAAGGGCAGGACAGTGGACATGAGGAATGTCAGATCAGCCATAGTGATAATGAACGGCAGGCCAGGTTTTGATGGTCCAAATGGCCTACTCCTGTTCCTATGTCTTATGGTCTTGACAGTTATGAATTAGTACAGAGAGTTAAAAAGAGGTCAGTTATGAATAGTAAGCAGACAGCTTACAAAATTTGTTAGCAACATTCTTGTTTTGCTTCCTAAAGTTAATGGTACAAACTGCGCCAAACTGTTGGATCCTGAATGGTGGACAGGCCACAGGTTTACTGTTGCATTACCCTGGGATTTAATGCTGCACAATCCCATTTTTGTATTGTCCAAAGCAAGTAAAGTTCCCATTCAGATAAGGTAGTCTATTAATGTCTGAAGTAAACTCATTGTGTCATTTCAATTCCTATTACCTATTTCAATGTTGTAAATATTCTGCATGTAATCTTTAGGTAAGATGCCAAGTCAACTATCAGTTTATCGTGTGCTAAAAGCATTTATATAGGGGTGAAATATAATTCAAGGTTATTCTGAAGTAACAATTTGTCTCCACATAGTCATTGGATTACATTTCAGTAATATCGGAATGCTTGTAATCCAAGCAGTTATCCAGTCATGATTGCAAGTTAATGGTTATGAGTTTTTTTTTTCCATGATAATTGTTTAAGTGCTCTCATACCGTAGCTTGCTATAATAAACTGGAATGACATTGCAGCATAAAAGAAAGCTGTGATCTTTGCCCATTGGCACTTTGATTTGATTTTTTTTACACTGTTTGCTGAAGCACTTGCTGTTTCAAAACTTTCTATTTCATTCCAAGTTCTGCAGTAAAGAGTTATTATTTAGAGTGTTGGAACTTAAAGCAGTTCCCTGCTCATGGCAAAACACTATTTGAACTTGTACAACAGTATTTATTAAATTTAAATGCATTATTTGTTTCTGGATAGAAAACGTTGCATTTTTTTGCTTTGATTGTGCAGTTAGCCCCATAACTATTCATTGCCACATCTACAGTACCACACAAAGGCAGTGTAATAAATTATGAAACTTTCCTCCCTTCAGTCAACATCCTTGGGTGTGAATGCATGATGTGGATGAGATTGCTTACCCCTGATATATTAAGCTGCTCAACTGACTGGGATTATTTCCCCCCAGAAGGTTATTCACAAAATTTACAGAAGTGCATTGCATGACAGAAACATTTTGATATTACATGCAAAACAACTCAATTTCTTCCAGTGCAGTTTGTTAATTAGTATGTTTTACATTCAATGTCCACATTATTTATTCCATGCCAATTCAGTCCCTTTGTGTACTATGGTTTAATCCTTAGTGCACTCTTGTGGTGTCTGCCCAGGCTTTAGTGCAACCCTCAACATGTGACCCTGGCCAATGGAATCTGCCAGTCTGCAACACGCTGTTGTGGACAGCTGTTGTCACTGGAAGGCCAATGGGTTTCATGCAGACCAAAGCATATTTTTTACTGAGTTGATGATCTTCCAGCCATAATTGATGTTCATCTTGGTGTACATCCCTGGGAGCATCCTGTAGAGACAGATTCAGTCACAGGTGCTTGTTTGACAACAAGCTTTGACAAAAACCACTGCATCTGTTTCCAGATATGCTTTACAAAGACACATTCCTAAAGGAGTTGGACAATGATGTAGGAAGTGAAAGATCTTGGTGTGCAGATCCATAACTCCCTTTAGTGGCAGAAAGATAGCTAAGATGGTAAAGCAGTCATTTGGGAGTGGGAGAAATGATTTCTGAAGAAGGGTCCCAACCTGAAACATCAACTTTCCTGCACCTCTGATGCTCCCTGCCTGCTGTGCTCCTCCAGCTCCACAGCATCTGCAGCTCTTACTATCTCTGAGGGAGTTTTGGGAATTGGTCAGTGGGATGGGTGGGTCGGATAGATGGGAGAGAAGACGGACAGGTTGTATCAGGTCAAGGAGGCGGAGATGAGAGGGAGGGTTGGTCATGGGATGAGGCTGGGGGTGGGTTTTCCTTCATTGAGAAATGTAATGAATTAAAGAAAAGCATGTAAGCCACAGCTGGAATTTTGTGTATAGTTCTCGTCACCATACTTTAGTTAAGACAGAGAGAGTATAGAGGAGATTTACAAGAATGTTGCTAGGCCTTGAAAATTGCAGTTATGAGGAAAGATTGGAAAAAATATGGTTGTTTTACTTAAAGGAGATTGAAGGGTGACCGAATTGAAGTGTATCGAATAATGAGGGGCTTGTATGTAGTGGATGGGGAAGACATGCTTCTGATAGCGGAGAGGCCAATTACCAGGGCCACAGTGATTGGTAAAAAGATTAGA